GAAAAAGATAGGGAGAACATAGGTTGAGCTGCTTGCAATAGGAAAGGATAGTCTCTTGGTGTAAGTTGTCTGAGGTCCTATGTCCCTTTAGGGGATGGGAGACAGAAGAAGAAGAAGGGCAACCAGTGTGATATTGACCATATCACCCACCGTGCGCCAGTTTGTATATCATTCTATCATAGAAAGATATCAAGAGATATAGTTTATATGTTTACATTTAGTATCAAAGAGAGAATGACGGGATGTGACCTAAAATGGAGATAATTTTTTTTAAAATGATGCCTATATCACAAATGTACATAAATGGGAATGCTTGCTTATTTGACATTCATTAATTACAATTATGTTCAAGAAGGTTTCATCTTAGCAAACATTTAAGGCAGGCTGGATTACATTCGTAAAACTGCCTGTGTGCTATTTTTATTTGACACGCCCACAGACTCGTCTACGCCCGACTCTTTGGTAAATTTATTCTCTTGTGACTGTTTACTGTAGCCTGTGATTGTGGAGCAGAAACACAGACCCCTGAGCACATACTGCAGTACTGCCCTTACCTCTCCCGGCAAAGACTGTTGATCTGGCTCAGGGGATCCACATTGCGAGACCTTAAACGCACAATCCTATTTTTGACCCAGACGGGACTCAATGTGTAGCATGACTGATGTCGAACGCAGAAGAAGAAGAAGAACTGTAGCCAGTGTTGTTTTTAATCATTTTTCCTTCAGATTTTATAAAAATCGAAGCATGTCTCTCAACATGGCATATTATTTGATTAGTCGTATACAGTGTTTTTGTTTTCCTTGCTTCCATCTGCTGTGTCTTTATTCTCGACAAAGAGTAATGACAAGAGAGCAGCATCAATAATTAATTTAAGCTGAGTGGAATTCATTACCAGCTTCCACAACAAAACTCCATTCATGGCGGAGCCACAAACCAATGGAACAAATTGTCTCACAGATCTGCTAGTATGAATTGATGGATCAATCTACGTATACTTCAGACAAAGAGAGAAAGAGAACGAACGAACGAACGAATGAACTTTATTTTCAGAGGGTCACAAATTGGGCACACAGGCCCGTCTTACATTCGGCCCTTCCAAACACCTGTCTTTCACACTGCAGCTGTATAAGAGAGAGAGAGAGAGAGAGAGAGAGAGAGAGAGAGAGAGACAGACAGACAGACAGACAGACAGACAGACAGACAGACAGACAGACAGACAGACAGACAGACAGACAGACAGACAGACAGACAGACAGACAGGCAGGCAGGCAGGCGGGCGGGCGGGCGGGCGGGCGGACGGACGGACGGACGGACGGACGGACGGGCGGACAGACGGACAGACGGACAGACGGACAGACAGACAGACAGACAGACAGACAGACAGACAGACAGACAGACAGACAGACAGACAGACAGACAGACAGACAGACAGACAGACAGACAGACAGACAGACAGACAGACAGACAGACAGACAGACAGACAGACAGACAGACAGACAGACAGACAGCGTGTTTGTACGTATGTGTGCATCATAAAAATGTTGGATGTAAACATTTCCGGAAGGGGTCGAATTTTTATTTTTGGTCGCAGGTCGATCCAACCTACAAATATTCGTACATGATATTTTCTGGAACTTTCTGGATACTGTCTGATATGACAGGCGACGAGGAAGAGAACTATCCGACCTTGTAGTCATGTCATAGAATGTAATGATTAGGACTTTGCTCTCAAAGCTGTGTTATTGCTTTACGGTCCCAATTTAATATAAACATTGTTTAATCTACCGCTTCTTCTCTCTGTTTTTATCATTCTTATTCTTCTGTATTCGTCTTTAAAGGGACGAATGGCACATATTCTGTTGTGTGGTTTCAGGCTAGTCTTCGATATCTGAGCTTTTGTCCCAACACATCAGAGACAGAGACATTGGAGACAGGATATAGAAGGCCATAAACATCACTCTGGCAACTTGAGACGTGTAGAGTTAGAAACTGGAAACTCGCAGACAAACACTGGAACTAACCCATACATGCAAATATACATATACATAAATGCATCTTTCTACTTCTTCAGCATTCAGAGCCCTTGAGATTCATTGCTGCAGATATCACCCGGCTACATTCATCTTTCCAGTTGGCCTTCTCCCTCAAGCTGATGACACCAAGTGATTGTAGGTCTGTCGGGACATTATCTCTCCATCGTCTTCTTGGTCTGTCTCGTCGTCTTCGACTGTTCAGCTCCCTTGTGTATACAGTTTTTACTTGTCTGTCATCCGACATTCTCTCACTATGCCCCAACCATGTCAGTCTATCAGCCCTCACAGTGACAGTGATCAATGCCGATTTCAACAGATTATGAATTTCGTTGTTGCTTCTCACTCTACATTCCCAGCAGTTTGTATCTCTCATCGGCCCAAAGATTCGTAGTCAGAAAATTGTCGCAAATGTGTGTGTGTGTGTGTGTGTGTGTGTGTGCGCGCGCGTGTGTGTGTGCATGTTTGAGTGTGGGTGCGTGTGTGAGTGTGTGTTTGTTTAATATGACACTCCTAATTTGGCTCGATGTTTGTTTCAGGCCTTTCAAGTTCAAGAATCTGGTCATGAAGACAACATTTCAAAGACTTTACTGTTTTTGTTTCACCTCTATTTTTGAATGTAGAGCCGGTTCAGTTACATCAGAACATCAGAAACATATCAGTAAAACTAAGTGACTTTCTTGCTGCATTTCCATACCCAAGTCAGGAGTTGTATGGTTTAGCTCGCTGTATCTTCATTCGCGAGACCCAGATTCAAATCCTCCGTAAGTTGTAGCATTAGTTTTGTTCTGCCGGGGACCAAAATAAAATCATAACCCGCACAGTCTGTGGCGACCACACCAGCCGGGCCTCAGGTTGAGAAAACTGTGCCTTACGCCGCCCTCAACAGGGGTACATACAGAGACAACCCTGAATGGAAATTCACAAGCAGCACTATCAGTAGTTGAAGGGGTGATGTCATTTAGGGCTAGTATTCAGTTTCCTGAGGCTCAGTCAAAGTCGAGGCTCAATCCAGTTTGTGGTTGCTGCCCTAAGGTGCTTCCAGAAAACTCAGTACTCAGCTTGATAAGTACCTTGGAGTAACCACTGATTCATAGTATGAACTAAAAGTATATGAACCAATCTTCGCCTGATTGTCCACATACCGCATATACTGAGTGTCCGGGACGCCAGTTTACACACAGAGGGGAAATTATCGGTACATAGATACTGATAGTAGTCATGAAGCATGCCGGAGACGTCTACCATCGCATCTTTCATAGGTAGAAGTGTATAGTCAGGAGAATCTTCTTTGTGCCGTTATACATTACACAGAACTCGCAGTCGATTACTCCATTCCAGTTGATCTTGTGCACTCAGGTTTTGTCTAGAGGACAGAGATCTATTGTGGGAATCGAAGACCTGTTTTGGAGATCTAAGAACTTTTGTTACAATCTCGGATCTGTCGCTGTCTATGGCTTAGGGAAATTAAAGTCGTTTCATAACTCCGCTATACCGGTTTTGATTCATTTGAAGGCGATTTGACAGCAAACATCATTGTGTTCATCTCGACAGTGGTACGATTGTTAAACCGTTCAAAAAGCAGTGCCAAAATACTGAAAATGTAGAATTCATGTGTCAAACTAAAAACAGACCATAACCGCTGGAGTTGGCTTGCGACGCAATTAAAGGATAGCCAACTGATGATTTTTGTTTTTCAACTTGGTAACTCTATTGCAGTGAGATGTATCCTTTGGTAACGAGAAGGTAGTTGAAATGAACCACATAAATACTGATTAAATTCTCACGAAGTTAATCAGCGCCTTGTACAATGTTGTGTATGTTGTACTCACAGACAGATAACTCGTGGCCAGTTAAATCATTGTAAATATTGGACGCAAATTCGGGTTACAGAAATGAAGACGCTTCAGTGCTCTGGTACAGGCTGTGATCACGTGATATGCTCTATTTGATGGTGACAGTATACTATACCATTGATGTACCGTACGCCATTTGAAGCGACTGTGAAAGTGGAAAGTATACTTGAATATATCGTTCAGTTTACACAAGGCTGGGTTTATATTGTTGGATATATGTAGATTTCTGGTAACACGTTTATGCAGTAGTTGCCAGCTAGCAGTGTGTTTTAAACTGCGGAACGTTTGATATTATTATATGGCTGTTTGTGTTCTTTTAGATACAGAGAAACAATGTGTTAGCTGTATTAGGTATATATATATATATATATATATATATATATATATATATATATATATATATGTGTGTGTCAATGCGATATTTCGCACACACACCCAAAACTGTTAACACAAAAGTATGCGAGTTTCCTATTGCACTGATGAAAAACGTGACCAAAATACACACTTGAAAGCAAACATTTCTGAAGCAGTTTGTGTTGATGTAGAAGGACATCGGCCAAAGAGGGTCAAAACAACAGCTGACAACAGAATATAGAAAAATCCTGACCGGGCAGTGTCAGGCTTGCACGGTTATGGACAGTATATAGAACACCAATCAAATATGTTCAATAAAGCAGAATTAGACAGCAGACAGAACACAAGAGACCGAATTAGAGACGGTTTATAGAAGAATACGATACAGTGGTGTCAACGAGGCAGAATTAGAGACAGGATATAGAACAGGATACAGTTGTGTCAACGAGGCAGAATTAGAGACAGGATATAGAATAACATGATGCAGTTGTGTCAACAAGGCTGAATTAGAGACAGGATATAGAATAACATGATACAGTTGTGTCAACAAGGCTGAATTAGAGACAGGATACAGAAGAACAGGATACAGTTGTGTCAACAAGGCAGATTTAAAGACAGGATATAGAAGAACAAGATACAATTGATTCAACGAGGCAGAATTAGAAACAGTATATAGAAGGGTATAAACATCACTCTGGCAGCTTGAGACGTGTAGCGTCAGAGATCGAAACTCGCAGACAAGCTTTGGAACTAACCATACATGGTGTCAGTTGGAGCACCTGTAACATCATCGCCCAGCAGCAGCAACATCGTCAGTGTCATTAATGTCACCAAGGGTGAGTTCATTCAGTGTCTTTGGTGCATCTCTCTCTCTCTTTCTTTCTGTCTGTCTCTCTCTCTCTCTCTCTCTCTCTCTCTCTCTCTCTCTCTCTCTCTCTCTCTCTCTCTCTCGCTGGCGCGCGGGCGTATTCATGAGTATGCTAATGTTCTGTGCACACCTTCTTTGACACAAGGCGTTTTCTTACAATTTAACATGTATTAACATGTATTAACATGTTTTAATTACAATCGTATCATAAATCGGTCATCTCCTTGTGAGATACAATTTTTCATTATTTGAAGCCCTACCCTGGCTCTTGCCAGGGGCCGCAATATAGCCCGGCCATAAATATGGTCTAATGGCTGAACGCGGTTTCTGGGACCTCTCCAAGGGTGATCCTCGTACGCATGGTGGCATATTGTGTCATCTGGTGTTTATCGCTTGTGTGATGTCCTGGTAGGGTAAAAGAAGATAGATAGATAGACATATAATTTCAGAAATGAGAAAAAGACTGGTTTCATACTTTAGTTAGTTACCTACTTATTTTAAAAGACTGTTATTATTACTACTATTTATTTACTTCTTGTTTTAATGACTCCCTCTTTCTTCATATGTGTGTGTGTGTGAGTGTGTGTGTGTGTGTTCGAGTTAGTCCTGCCATTTCTATAATAGAATTAGTCCCCAAATCTTTAATAAACGATTCGGTATTCAACAGGTGGGCAGGACACATCCTCTCGACCGCCTTTATTTCCCATAAATTTAATGTCCATTTTTGACTGAGTCGACATGGGAAACCAAGGTCAATTTTTAAAAGTCAGTCTCCATGCAGATTCAAACACAGACAACTGTCTGACCTCTCAGCTCACGCAGGAGACACGAACCGATGCAGTCCGACGGATTGTAGAAATACAACTTGGGGTCCAAAACTGAGATCCCTGTGTAGGTTTCGAGGTCGGTTGTGAGGAAAACAAAAATGGAACCAGTTACCCCCCCCCCCCCCTTTTTCCACCCCCACCCACACACACCCACCCACACACACACACACACACACACACACACACACACAATAAAAGCACGTCTCAGAAGCTGACTAACTGGGCTCATCTCAGCTAGATGTATTCCCATTGGAAGGATACATCTAGTTAAGGAACCTAGAGTCTACATTTACATTAGCCAGATGTGTGAGAAGGATGTGCACACAACACTCAGTTCTGGATTAAGACAAACAAGACTCAAATTCAGAGGTGGACCAGAGTTTTCCGGAGGAGTTTACAGCCGGTGAACGCTAAGAAGAGGAAAAAAAAAAGACATACTTTGAGGGAACAACTGTGTCGTCTTCATGAGAAAGTTGCATGCGTTGTATTCATTAGAAATAGCACTCGGTGATCCATGATACAACTAACCACGAGAACGGCCCTTTTTCCAACCACCCACTGCGGGAATCGAACCCTGAAGAATATCGAGAACTGCATTGTGAAACGATTTCCTCGACCTCTATGCCACGCACTGAGAAGAAGACAATCGAATGACTTTAGCATCTCCATCCGATGACCCCACACGACAACAGTGGACGACGGTAATTGTTTCTTCTGTTTGTATAATTTGTGGATTGAAACCAAACACTTCAAATAAACGTATATCCCTTGTATCCAGCAGCAAATAATAGGAAAGGGGGAAGGGGGGGGGGGGTGAAGTGTGATCAGGATTTTCCAAGCGAACAGTCAGATTAAAAAAGTATGTTTAACTCTTTTTGAATATCACCCAACCCCTTCCCCTTTTCCCCGCAAACTACAAAAGTGCGTATATCATCAAAAGTTTAAATAGGATAATATGTTTGTGTCAATCAAGTGAGATAGTCACGATATAACAACAAATCTCAGTGATACTGAATTTATTTATGTAACCTGTTTTCAACTGCCAGTGTTGTTTAAATGCCACGTTTTTGTTTGTCTGTACAGACGACCCCACTAAAATAACATGTTTATACATATGACTGTCAGAAGCGATTCAAAAATATCTGGTGGTTCAACAAGGAACGTAACTGACAAGGCTAAACGAAAACATTGGGGCGTTTTTCCTCTTCAGTATCCCTATTTGCTAAAACCACGGTTACATTGGAATTTAGGCATTTAAATGAGTTTTATTTTCCGCAAATCTGTCTAATTATCCCACTATGTTGTGGTTTTTCTTCTCACGTGTGGTGAAAAATGATGGCTTCCTCTTTCTGATATTTGTACCACAGCAGTATTTTCAAAACATTTAGGTCTTTTTCATGTGGTTATTGGATAAATGGTATCAGCCCATGTTTTTAGACCAAAGAGGAATCCGCAGTCAATCGATTGTATGGCCAATGTCATGCCAGCCAACTTGACTTCCCAGAAATGTTCCTGATACCCATTTGATTGGGTGCATCTCCGGAAAGTAAAGGCAGCCAGTCTGC